AGGTTTTGAAGAGCCCTCTCAGGTCCTCTCCTCCAGAGCAGGAAGAAAACAAGCTTGCTGCATCTTTCATAGGACAGCCCTTGAGATATTTGAAGATGGCTCTCATATCTCCTCTCAGTCTCCTCTTTTCCAGGCTAAACATTCCCAGCTCCTTCAACCATTCCTCATAAGGCTTGGTTTCCAGACCTTTGATCATCTTGGTCGCCCTCCTTCTTAAATTGTGGTGTTCAGAATTGGACATAGTATTCCAGGTCGGGTCTGACCAGGGCAGAACAGTGACTTCCCTAGATCCAGACACTATACTTCTGTTGATACAGTTCAGAATAGCATTAGTCTTTTTTGCTGCTACATCACTGTTGACTCATGTTCAGCTTGTGGTCCACCAAGACCCATAGGTCCTTTTCACATGTACGGCTAGTAAGCCAGGTGTCCCCCATCCTATATTTGTGGATCTGTTTATTCCTGCTTAAGTGCAGATCCTCACATTTGTTTTCACACTGGCCACACCTGAGGTCAACTGCAACTTTCTGCACTTGAGATTCCCAGCACCTGGTAATCAGAGGCTCACTGGACATACCGGTAGTAATTATGGCCAATAGCCATTGACAGACCTATCCTCTGTGAAAAGTCCGGGCTGAATCAATGCTACAGCATGACGTTACAGCAGGTTCCAGGGCTCATTAAACTGCTCCATTTTTCCAGGAACTGAGTTCAGATTTATTACCCTCCATCTTATTTAAACTCTACAAAGATAGAGGAGGGAACAGTTGGAGACGAGGCCTTTTGAGATACATCAGATGAAAGAGCTGGTTTTTTTTTATCTTTTTCTTTTATGGCTATCCCAGGCCAGTGCACAAAAGGCAAATTTTATGAAGGACTGTCATCTGTTTCAATCACATCCCCACAGATATAAAATTTGAAAAACACAGCCTCGGTGAAGTCGATGGCTGTACGTCAGATTTACAAAGGGGGAAATGAGCTCAAATTATCTTTTCTATCAATGCCTAGCATGAGACAGAAGGGAATGTGACCTAGAGAAGTGGGGGGTGGAGACTGCTGAGGTTGGGAAGGGGGTGGATTGAAGGACAGTGAAAGTGGGCAAGCAGAGGGCAAGGGCAGGATAGCTGTGATTCCTGCACAGCAGGGGGTTGGACTAGATGAACCTTGGGGGTCCCTTCCAGCGCTACAATTCTGTGATTCCACACTTCCATAACCCCTGCAAATATATACACACAGAACACCCACCCACAAAATGGTTGGGCAGGTAAAAGGAAGCCCTTCTTCAGGCAGCACATGAAACTACCTTAAGGTCCACAAATGACAACATTTTGGGAGTCCCAGGTTGCAAGGTGGTTAGCTTGGTCTCAACTAGGGCCAGGGCCTTTTCAGTACTGGCCCCGACTTGGTGGAACGCTCTGTCACAAGAGACCAGCAAGACAGAGCTGTTCTGCCTGGCCTGTTCCAGTCTGACCCTTATGTCTTCCCTCCTCTTATGGTTTTGATTTATGGGCTACTTGAGGCTGCATTTTAAATTGCATTTTAACCTGTATTTTAATTCCCCCCGCCTATTATGTTTTTACTGTAATTTTACTCTTGTTAGCCGCCCTGAGCCCGGCTCTGGCCGGGGAATAAATAAAATTTATTATTATTATTGTTGTTGTTGTTGCTGTTATTATTATTACGGAACTCCCTCCCACAGGAGGCAGCAACAGCCAATGACTTGGATGGCGTTAAAAGAGGATCAGAGAAATTCCTGGACAAGAGTGCTATCGCTGGCTACTAGCCTTGATGGCTAGGCTCTGTCTCCAAAGTCGGAGGCAGCGAAGCTTCTCAATACAGTGGTGCCTCGCAAGATGAAATTAATTCGTTCCGCAAGTTTTTTCTTCTTGCGAGTTTTCCGTCTTGCGAAGCACGGTTTCCCATAGGAATGCATTGAAAATCAATTAATGCGTTCCTATGGAGACCGCTTGCCAGGCTGGCGGTGCGGAGAAGGGCTTTTCTCCCCACCACAAGCCTTCAGGACAGGTACGGGAACAGAGGGGAAGGGAACAGAGCAGCCTTCCGAAGCCTGGCGCGGGGAGAAGGTCTCTCCGCCCCACCGCCCGGCTTCGGAGCAGCCTTCCAAAGCCTGGCGGCGGGAGGAGGTCTCTCCGCCCCACCACCAGCCTTCGGAGGAGGTCCGAGGACAGTGGGGAAGACGTGCTGCGCTTCCCCGCTGTCCCAGAGATTTCCCTATGGGCTTTCGTCTTGCGAAGGAAGCCCATAGGGAAATTCGTTTTGCGAAGCGCCTCCAAAACGGAAAACCCTTTCGTCTAGCGGGTTTTCCGTCTTGCGAGGCGTTCGTCTTGCGGGGCACCACTGTACCAGTTGCTGGAAACCACAGGAGGGGAAAGGGCTTTTGTCCTCGAATCCTGCTTCTGGGATTCCCCTGGGAGAAAAGGATGCTGGACGAGATGGGCCATTGGCCTGACCCAGCAGGCCATTCTTATGTACTCAGGGGCTTCTTGCTAGGTTTTCACGAGCATGAAAATGGACGTGCCCCTCTCTTATTGGCCTCAAATGGACTCTCTGCTCCAGTTTCATCTCCCATTTACGGCCTCGCCGTCTTGCTCGGAAATCAAACCCCATCCCAATGAAGCGGCTGTTCCGTCTTGCTTCCTGGAAGTTCAGAGAAAAGGCAGGCGAGAGGGTGACGTGGTAAAGGTAAAGGGACCCCTGACTATTAGATCCAGTCGTGACCGACTCTGGGGTTGCAGCGCTCATCTCGCTTTACTGGCCGAGGGAGCCGGCGTACAGCTTCCGGGTCATGTGACCAGCATGACTAAGCTGCTTCTGGTGAACCAGAGCAGCGCACGGAAACGCCGTTTACCTTCCACCGGAGCGGTACCTATTTATCTACTTGCACTTTGACGTGCTTTCGCACTGCTAGGTTGGCAGGCGCTGGGACCAAGCAATGGGAGCTCACCCTGTCACGGGGATTCGAACCGCCAACCTTCCGATCGGCAAGTCCTAGGCTCTGTGGTTTAACCCACAGCGCCACCCGCATCTGGTGACGTGGTAGGAAGGTTCAAAAATGATGCACAGCATGTAGAAAATGGACAGAGCACTCTTGTGACACTCTCGCCCCAACCTGCTTTGTCGACAGAGCAGACCCACTAACCAAACCCCCAAGTCTCCTGCTTCTTTTCCACTCCTCGGAGGCTGTGTGCTTCAGTCTGAGCCAATCTGAATTCATTCCCCAAGACGTATCCCGCTAACTGCTGTATCAAACGCTTTCGTTCACACCCTCCCAAATAAACCCCACCTTACGGCGCCCCGTTTTGTGTGTAATCCTATAAAAAGAAAAGGCCACCAGCTCTGTCAGGCGTGATTTAGTCTGCATAAACCTGCCACCAACCGCTTTATAGCTTTGGCAGCCGGGCTGGGGGCTGGGGAGTTGCGGCGGCGGCGGGGAGAATTAGCTCCTGAGCAGTTTCTCTCTCAGTTTTAATTCAATTCCTTTTTCATGAGAAACAGAACTGTGATTTAAAAGGAGAGGGCTTTTAAAAACTCTGCCTGCCTGCAGTCTAATGCTGAGTAGCTTATCTTTACTCGCCTCTTCTCCTTTGGAGTAGGGCATTTAGAGAAGGAAATGGAGAAGGCTCACAGCAAAGGCTGTCAATGCTTTGAAAAGGGTGGTCATGTTGTTGTTGTTTAGTCGTTTAGTCATGTCCGCCTCTTCGTGACCCCCTGGACCAGAGCACGCCAGGCCCTCCTGTCTTCCACGGCCTCCCGCAGTTTGGTCAAACTCAGGCTGGTAGCTTCGAGAACACTGTCCCACCATCTCGTCCTCTGTCGTCCCCTTCTCCTTGTGCCCTCCATCTTTCCCAACATCAGGGTCTTTTCCAGGGAGTCTTCTCTTCTCATGAGGTGGCCAAAGTCTTGGAGCCTCAGCTTCAGGATCTGTCCTTCCAGTGAGCACTCAGGGCTGATTTCCTTCAGAATGGGGAGGTTTGATCTTCTTGCAGTCCATGGGACTCTCAAGAGTCTCCTCCAGCACCAGAATTCAAAAGCATCTATTCTTTGGCGATCAGCCTTCTTTATGGTCCAGCTCTCACTTCCATACATCACTAAGGGTGGTCATATAGGACTTTAAACTTGCAACAAAGCCTGGTGCTTTGTCTATAAAGAGCGAGGTCGACTGACACATCTGCTTCCTTTGACGCCTCTTCGCTCGCCGCTCCCTGAAAAAGCATTGTGTTCAATGTGACGTCCGGCACTAGCAAACTTCAGCTTTAGTGCTCTGAAAGTGCGAAGGCCCTGGAGGCAGCTCCTCGCTTTCCACCGAAAACCAATCTTCGAGCACGTATGTGTGAACAGGGCGCTTTGGAGTCGGAAGGGGTGAAGCTGCCAGCTTCACACCGCATTTTGCAATGCCACTGATGATTTGGGTTCCATCAGCATCGCCTCTGCCCTGCTCAGTGGTTGCCAACACCTTGGCCAGCTGCAGGGCAAGGAAGGACCTCTCTAAACTGAAAACTCAGGGATGGGGAAGGCTGCCTGCTGCCACCCGGACTGTCCCTTTCAATTGCTGTGTGAAATTGTGGGGCAGGCCTTATGCCCTGCCTGTCCCCATCTAACTCAGACAGGAGGCTGGCTTGCAAAATGCAAAACTGGGGCCGGAATCACCAACTCGGAAGGCTCAGGAGTGTGTCGATTCTGGCTCAGTTTCTTCTTTGACTTCTACAGCGGTACTTCGGGTTAAGGACTTAATTTGTTCCGGAGGTCCGTTCTTAACCTGAAACTGTTCTTAACCTGAAGCACCACTTTAGCTAATGGGGCCTCCTGCTGCTGCTGCGCTGCAGCCGTGTGATTTCTGTTCTCACCCTGAAGCAAAATTCTTAACCCGAGGTACTATTTCTGGGTTAGCGGAGTCTGTAACCTGAAGAACAAGGCGAGAAAGTTATTTAAATGGATATGTATAAATATGCAGGGATGGCGGGGAAATTAAAGGAAGAAGGGAAGTTGTTGAATGTTTTTATTAAAAGAAAGATATTAACCGTGGAAATTTACATTTGAATGTGAATGTGATTTTTGGAAATGGTAATAATGAAAATTGTACTAAAATAATTTTTTAAAAAGAAACGCAGTTTGTAAACTTCTTTTTTTATTCCAGTTACTGATTTTCTACAAGTAGTTCTTGCAGCAATAAAAGCAGCAGAGAGATTCCTAAGGCAATCTGAAGCTGCAGAAGCATAAGGCAGGGCTGGGTTTGTTTGTTCAGCAGTAAGGCACATGTTTTTCATGGAACATGGAAGGCCCAAGACTCAGTGCCTGGGACCTCCGGTTAGGCACAGCTCTGTGTTAGAATCCTGACGCCAACTTCTGAGCCCAGAATTTGCATAATACTCTCCCCCATTCTACATGATTTGTCCTGATTTTCCTAGTTAAGGCAAAGGAGCACAGAAACCTCACCCTCACTTGGTGGAAATCTTCGTGAACAGATTCTCTGGCTTTGGGGGGTTTCTGGGCTTACACAATTGCAACCAAATCTTCAAAATCTTACAGGAGGGGTGGAGAACCTGTGGCCTTGCAAATGTTGCTGCACTACAACAATCACCATCTTGGGCCTCCTCTTCAGGTAGGTGCCTGGGTTGGACTAGATGGTCCTTTGGGTCTCTTCCAACTCTACAATTCTTTGATTCAAGGAGGAGGAGGAGGAAGTGCTTATTCTCAGTCCAATAAACCATGGTGTGTTGGACCCGAAACTCTTAAGCCAGGTGAATTATCTTGGACAGTTTTCTTAAAAATATAATTATTCTCTCACTTACGAAACTTTCAGCAGAATCAATATGAGCTGAGAACTTGTGGGGAAGGGGCTATTTTCTGGTGTTTTGGGCTTTGTGCTATTAAAACATGATTGTTAGTCCATTTTCTGTTGTTAAGAACGAATTACATTATACAGCGGTACCTCGGTTTTCGAACGTAATCCGTTCCGGAAGACCGTTTGAGTTCCGAAACGTTCTAAAACGGAAATCTCAATACAGAAGCCTCAGAACGGAAATCTCAATACAGAAAACTCGATATGGAAGCCACGTGACATGTTTGACTTCCAAAAAGTGTTTGAAAACCGAAGCATTTACTTCTGGGTTTATGGCATTTGAAAACCGAAACGTTTGGCAATGGAGACGTTCGAAAACCAAGATACCACTGTAACACATTTTTTTTCCACACCACCAACGTGAAAATCCATTTTGTTTCCGAAAGCACCCACAGCCCTTCAGAGCACATCCGCAATGGCTTCTTCCCAAAGCCAACCGCCAGCGCTTGAGCCAGGCTTGCTGCCCGGGTCCTGCTTAGAGCTTGGCCATTGACTGCAGTGGCACATCCTTGTGAACGCCCTGCAACCACTCGATGAGGATCTTGTTCAAAGCCGCAGGCCTAAGAGGAAAACGCGTCATTGGCAAGGCAGGTATGAAAAACAAAGACCTCAGCCCAGTGCCCACAGAAACTAAACTGCTGCCAAGCCACATTCTGCAATTTTTTTTCATGCGGCACAGCTTTTCCATGCTTCTTTTCATGTGTGGTGGAGCATGACCCGGGAAAGAACATGCAGACAATGCACAAGGTGGAAGGGAGCTGTTCTGGTGCGTTCCCTGGGAACAGGAGCTGCAACGGAGCTGGGCCACATCTCACTTTCGCCATGAGCACACTAGATCTGCCCTTTTGCAAACCACAGTGACAGGGGCTGGGTTCGCATGACACAGTAAACTGTGGCTTTACAGGGATCGCACAAACATGGAGAAGAGAAGACGGAGAAAGGAGATGTGAGAACCGTCTTCAAATATCTGAAGGGGGTCCCTGCCAACCCAGCAGTTCAAAAGCATGAAGTGCAAGTAGATAAATAGGTACCGCTCTGGTGGGAAGGTAAACGGCGTTTCCATGCGCTGCTCTGGTTCGCCAGAAGTGGCTTAGTCATGCTGGCCACATGACCCGGAAGACTAGGACTAGCCGCCTGAGAAACTCCGCCTGAGAAACAGTTTCTATTCAAATGCGATTTTGGTTTTAAACGCAGTGTAAGGTAGTTTCTAGGGGCGCAGGTGGCACTGTGGGTTAAACCCCAGAGCCTAGGGCTTGCCGATCAGAAGGTCGGTGGTTCGAATCCCCGCGACAGGGTGAGCTCCTGTTGCTCGGTCCCTGCTCAACTGGAAGATGGAGCAAGCTCGCTTTCTCCTGACGTGGAGGGTAGGACCCAAACCAATGGTTTCAAGTGACAAGGAGATTCCTGCTAAACCTTAGGAAGAACTTTCTGGTGGCAAGAGCTGTTTGACGGTGAAAGGGACTCCCTGGGAAGGTGGTGGAATCCTTCAACTGGAGATTTTTACAGAGCAGTTGGATGTCCATCTGTCAGGGATTCTTTTGCTGTGATTCGTGTATTGCAGGAGGTTGAGCTAGATTGCCCCTGCTAATTCTACTACTCTATTCTACCCGCAGAGGACCCGGAAGCTGCTTTGCTCCTCTACCACCTTCCTTAGCCTTGTGCCTTACAGAGCTAAGTCAATGTGTGGTCTACCATGCCACAGGAAGCAGAATTTTTGGTTGGCCTTGTTAGGATTCATTTCCCGTGTTGCAGTCATGGGATTGTTTTTATCACATGACGGTGTATGTTTTCATTCCACATTGTGGAAAGTGACATAGAGACAGGGTGTTTATATTACTGTGTTTTCGTGATGTAGGACTTTTGTCCTTTGTCCTTTCTCTTTGCCGTCTGATGCTGAAGAAAGAGGAGCTGAGTTACAATGCTCCGAGTGTATGTATGTAAATAAACATAGTTTAGCCAAAATGCTGCGCTACTGAGTCTGAACGCTGACTCTGCTGGTCCTGAAGTGTGCCGATGCCTTTGAGGTATCAGTGGGTGTGATGTTCGGACTAGAAAAAGTTTTTGAATCGCCCAAATGACCGATCAGGAGGGAGAGAACATGCCAGTCGGGCATGTGTCTCTGCCGGACTCCTACTCGTGTGTAGGACCACCTGACAAGCCTCTCTCCTTATGAGCTGTATCTCGCTGTTGGTGTGGAAGTTTAAATATGAGCCCCAGTATGAATGACACACCAAGTCACTGGCTTAGCTCACTGTGAAACAGGAGCAAAAAGGGCCCATTCTGCATCCTCTCCGGTTGCCTGCCAGAGATCCTGAAAGTTCCAGTCCCTTCTCCAGCAGGGATGGGGGCGCAGATGAGCCTATGGGGCTCGGAGACTCTGCCTCTGTATATTCCCCTGCTCTATCTTAAGGTAAGTTACTGGGCCCTTGGTTCAGGGGGCAGGGACAGCAGGTGCTTGGTGGGTGGACTCGAAGTTATGTGGGGAATGTTTCAACCAGGTGCCTGCAAATGGCTCCAGCCTTTGTGAACGTCCAGCCTGCAACTCTTAAGAGCGGCTTCATCCCTTTGCATCCCTCCAGGTCCTGCACTGGTGACCTGGGAAAGGCATTAAAGGTAAAGGTAAAGGGACCCCTGACCATTAGGTCCAGTCGTGGCCGACTCAGGGGTTGCGGTGCTCATTTCGCTTTATTGGCCAAGGGAGCCGATGTACAGCTTCTGGGTCATGTGGCCAGCATGACTAAGCCGCTTCTGGCGAACCAGAGCAGTGCACGGAAACGCCGTTTACCTTCCCGCTGGAGTGGTACCTATTTATCTACTTGCACTTTGACGTGCTTTCGAACTGCTAGGTTGGCAGGAGCAGGGACCGAGCAACGGGAGCTCACCCCGTCGCGGGGATTCGAACCGCCGACCTTCTGATCGGCAAGTCCTAGTCTCTGTGGTTTAACCCACAGTGCCACCCGCGTCCCTTAGGCATTAGGCAGGGATAAAAGCCTTGCACCACAATCCAGCTCTGGGCAATTGAGGGAATGGCTAAGACTAGCCAGCAAGGCTAACTCTTCACACCAGGGTTGGGAAACCTTTTCCGGCGGAGGGCTGCCTGCCTTCATGGGCAACCCTTTTGTGAGTCACTCGTCAGTAGTGTGTGTGGCCAGGGGCAAAGTGAGATGAGCAACGGATGCGATTCATGTATTTGAACAGCAGGGTACATTCCAGAGGTTTATACAGTCGTACCCTGGTTCTCGAAAGGAATCTGTTCCGTAAGTCCGTTCGGCTTCCGAAAAAAGTTCACAAACTGGAACACTTACTTCCGGGTTTGCGGCATTCGGGAGCCAAAATGTTCGAGTCCCAAGGTGTTTGAGAACCAAGGTATGACTCCACACACACACACACACACACTTTGCCATCTTCAACCCAGACAAGCAAGGGGCATTGACACACTGCCGGCACACATCCTGGCTTGGCATACGCAGGAGGCTGCAGAGAAGGGAAACTGAGGGCTCCACCTAATCCAGCCTCCTGTTCTCAGTGGCCACCCAGATGCCTCCCCTGGGAAACTTGCAAGCAGGATCTGAACACAAGAGCAGTCTCTGCTTCTCCGGTTTCCGGCAACCGGTACCAAGAAGCATCGCTGCCTCCAATGGTGGAGGAAGAGCGCAGCCATTGTAGCGAGGAGCCATCGATAGCCCTCTCCTCCTCTTTGCACAGTCCTCTTTCAAAGCCATCTAGGTTGCTTCCCAGTGATGTATGGAAGTGAGAGCTGGACCATAAAGAAGGCCGATCGCCGAAGAATTGATGCTTTTGAATTATGGTGCTGGAGGAGACTCTGGAGAGTCCCATGGACTGCAAGAAGATCCAACCTCTCCATTCTGAAGGAAATCAGCCCTGAGTGCTCACTGGAAGGACAGATCCTGAAGCTGAGGCTCCAGTACTTTGGCCGCCTCATGAGAAGAGAAGACTCCCTGGGAAAGACCCTGATGCTGGGAAAGATGGAGGGCACAAGGAGAAGGGGATGACAGAGGACGAGATGGTGGGACAGTGTTCTCAAAGCTACAAGCATGAGTTTGCCCAAACTGCGGGAGGCAGTGGAAGACAGGAGTGCCTGGTCCATGGGGTCACGAAGAGTCGGACATGACTCAACGACAGGTTGCTTCCTGTGGCAGGGAGTTCCACAGTTTAACCATGTGCTGCATGAAGAAATACTCTCTCCTCTGCACATGCACACAGCGGTCTTTCTGCCCAGGTGCTGCATCCACCTGCAGATTAGATACCATGTGCCCTTCACAACGGTGTTCACCCCCCATCACTCTAATTCCCGCCCCATAAATCCAGGGGAATATTCCACCATGTCGTTTAAACTGGCAAGATGTTATACCTCCTTGTAAAGTTTGATGTGGGGGTTGGGAGTGGGCAAGAAAGAAAGACGACTCTGACCCTTACTCAGAGCTGAGCTGTCCCCGCTTTCCGCCCTGATTTATTCATCCTGCGCCGGAATTTATTGTCCCGTCAGTGGGGGGATGTCTCTGCTGAAAGGCAATTCCACCCAGCGGCTCATTTAACGGTCTTCTAGAGAGCGTTGATAGTTGGGTTATTTTTTTACAGCTGCTGCGACATTAGGATGAGATGGAGGTTTATGAGTCGCGGATGAACAATGGGGGCAGGAAGGGGGTGAGGCGGGGTGGGTGTTCATGGAAGAAATAAAACACCTCCTTGCACATATACACACACAGAGAGGCATGGAAGAACTTGGTGCAAAGGAAACTTTGGTGAGGGGAGCTGGTGGGGGGGCTTGGTTTAGAGTGCACCTTCACTGCAGTGGCCTAGAGGTCTGCAGGCACATGTCACTCTACTGGGAAGAATTTTTGTTGTTTAGTTGTTTAGTCGTGTCCGCCTCTTCTTGACCCCATGGACCAGAGCACGCCAGGCACTCCTGTCTTCCACTGCCTCCCGCAGTTTGGTCAAACTCATGCTGGTCGCTTCGAGAACACTGTCCCACCATCTCATCCTCTGTCGTCTCCTTCTCCTTGTGCCCTCCATCTTTCCCAACATCAGGGTCTTTTCCAGGGAGTCTTCTCTTCTCATGAGGTGGCCAAAGTCTTGGAGCCTCAGCTTCAGGATCTGTCCTTCCAGTGAGCACTCAGGGCTGATTTCCTTAAGAATGGATGTGTTTGATCTTCTTGCAGTCCATGGGACTCTCAAGAGTCTTCTCCAGCACCATAATTAAAAAGGATCAATTCTTCAGCGATCAGCCTTCTTTATGGTCCAGCTCTCACTTCCATACATCACTACTGGGGAAACCAGAGCTTTGACTATAGGGACCTTTCTTGGCAAGGGGATGGGCAGTGATGGGAAGAATAGGGACGTGCAGCTGTCAATTTTGGTTTCTCCCTGATGGGAAGGAGCCAAAGGGGACCTGAGAGGCACAGCACCTCCGTAACTCCGCCACCGAAAGTGGATACAGGGGAATATTCTCTCCCCTCCCTCCTAATGCCAGAACTCCTGGGCAGCCAACAAAGCTGAATGTTGGGAGATTTGGGACTGAGAAAACTAAGTCCTTCTTCAAATGGCGGCAGCAAGGGCCACCACCTTGGAGGGCTGTACAAGAGGAATGGGCAACTTCACGGAGGAAGAAAAGGCTACCAATGGTTGCTAGACACAGTGGTTACGTTCCGCTTCCATAGTTGGGAGGCAGAAATGCTTCTGGATGGCAGTTGCTGGAAACCGCAGGAGGGGAAGCGGGCTCCATGTTTACCTCTCCATCTGCGTGAAGTGTCCGCACTCTTCAATGTGCCCACGGCTCAGATGTGGAATCTGAAAAGACAAGACTCGGGTTACGACCCAGGCCAGCCGTAGGATGATGATGATGATAATAATAATAATGATGATGATGATGATGATGATGATGATTTATTTATATCCCACCCTCCCCAGCCAAAGTTGGGCTCAGAGCAGCTAACAACAATAAAATAATACAGCATTCTAAAATCAATTCATTCTGTGAGGATTACCAAAGGAGGGGGTCAGACTGTGCCTTGGCCAAAGGCCAGGTGGAACAGCTCCGTCTTGCAGGCCCTGCGGAAAGATGTCAAGTCCCGCAGGGCCCTAGTCTCTTGGGACAGAGCGTTCCACCAGATCGGAGCCACAGCCGAAAAGGCCCTGGCTCTCGTTGAGGCCAGCCTAACTTCTCTGTGGCCTGGGACCTCCAAGATGTTTTTGTTTGAAGACCGTAAGGTCCTCCGTGGGACATACCAGGAGAGGCGGTCCCGTAGGTTCGAGGGTCCTAGGCCGTATAGGGCTTTAAAGGTTAAAACCATGGATGGCTTCTCCGTGGCGAGGGATCATGAGCGGAGAGGGGTCGACAGCGGGAATCTGAAGCTGGGAGGGCAGTGCAGTGCTCCTTGGTTAAGAAGCCGAGGAAGAACAGGAAATGGCTCCAGGGAAGCCAGCGCAGGGTGATGAAATGAGGGAGAAGGGCTACGGTTCTGACTCTGGAGCAGCTGCCCTGAAAGGGGGCAGTGACAGGCCCTACCAGGCTGCCTCATCGCTTGCTTGCCAGTCAAATAGCACCTCTCCCCGCAACTTACTTTCTTATTTCTTATAGAGATGAGGTGGAGCGGCTGACAGAGTGGTGCAGAGCTAACAACTTGCTCATAAATACAAGGAAGACAAAGGAGCTTGTGGTGGACTTCAGGAGACAGAAGAGCAATGTCCAGCCACTTTTGATTGATGGGGTCTGTGTGGAGAGGGTAACAACGTTCAGATTTTTGGGCATTGAATTACAAGAGGATCTGTCCTGGAGTGTCAACACAAGGGGGCTTGTGAAGAAGGCGCAGCAGAGACTGTACTTTTTGAGAATTCTAAGGAAAAACCATCTTCCGCAGAAACTGCTGCTTGCCTTCTATCACTGTGCCATTGAGAGCGTGCTCACTTATGGCTTATGTGTGTGGTACGGAAGCTGTACAACCCAGGACAGGAGGGGGTTGTGCAGAGTTGTTAAGGCAGCAGAGAGCATTGTTGGCTGCCCACTCTCCACCTTAGAGCAGATTTATGCCACAAGGTGCCATAGGAAGGCACTGGACATAGTAAAAGATCCATCGCATCCTGGTCACTGTCTCTTCGAGCTTCTGCCGTCGGGATGGAGATACAGGACAATGAAGACAAGAACGAGCCGTCTTAAGAACAGCTTCTTCTCCAGAGCAAATGAATGGGAAGCCTGGACTTTGAAAGTCATCTAATCTTCCTTGCTTTACTATACTGTATTGTTTTAATTAGTGTTTTTATGGAGCAGTCAAGTAATTTCGTTGTCCCCGAGAGGGGGTAATGACAATAAAGATATTATTATTATTATTTTGTAATTTCATAAAATTTACACACCGCTCGATTGTAACAAAAACCTCAAAGCAGTTTACAAAAAAGAGAGAAAAGATAAAGGAATAAAATTATCACTAAGAGAAATGAACAACAATCTAGGACTTTCAGAAAGCTAAAATAACAACGGACTGAAAACAGATTAAAACTCACACCAACTTTCTAAGCATCCGGACAGGCTTGTCTGAACAAATAATGATAATGATAATGATAATTTATTTATACCCTGCCCATCTGGCTGGGCTTCCCCAGCCACTCTGGGCGGCTTCCAACAAAATATTAAAATACAGTAATGCATCAAATATTAAAAGCTTCCCTAAACAGGGCTGCCTTCAGAAGTCTTCTAAAAGTCTGGTATCTGTTGTTCTCTTTGATGCTTTTAGTAGGTGCTGAAGAGCACACTTAGTGATGTATGGAAGTGAGAGCTGGACCATAAAGAAGGCTGATCGCCGAAGAATTGATGCTTTTGAATTATGGTGCTGGAGGAGACTCTTGAGAGTCCCATGGACTGCAAGAAGATCAAACACATCCATTCTTAAGGAAATCAGCCCTGAGTGCTCACTGGAAGGACAGATCGTGAAGTTGAGGCTCCAATACTTTGGCCTCCTCATGAGAAGAGAAGACTCCCTGGAAAAGACCCTGATGTTGGGAAAGATGGAGGGCACAAGGAGAAGGGGACGACAGAGGATGAGATGGTTGGATAGTGTTCTTGAAGCTACAAACATGAGCCTGACCAAACTGTGGGAGGCGGTGGAAGACAGGAGTGCCTGGCGTGCTCTGGTCCATGGGGTCACGAAGAGTCGGACACGACTAAACAACAACAGAAGAGCACACTGAAGGCGATGGCCTGCTATCAATAGGCAGGGAATTCCAAAGTGCAGGTGTCACCATACTAAAAGATTGATTTCTTACAATGGGGGCTGTGGAATATGGGGCACCTGTAAACGGTGCCAGTTCCACCAATAGAAGCGTAAGGCACCCCCCCATGCCTCTATCAGCGGGCAGACATGGAGGTGAGCCTATGGAGTCCTATGGGAGCAGAGTGCTGCTGAGATACCCTAGCTGAGATCTTTTAGGGCTACAGAAGATCAAACGAATTGGAAGCCATTACAGATGGCAAGAGGAAGGGGCATTGTGTGGCTCGACGCCTTTGACTTCATTTGAGCTCAGTTTCGAACAACATCGGCAGCTGACTTTTGTCTTTCGTGGGCAGCCCCACGTAAAGAGCGTTACAGCAATCTAACCTGGGAGGCCACAACACAGAAAGGATGTTTGAGAAGGACGGCTCGGCTCCAGCAACCTGAAGCTTCGGTGCATCTGCGGGCAAACATCACCCACTGGTTGCAGAGGTTGACAGCACTAGTCACTCACCCATTCTTCCATGCCTTTGCTCAATTTCGGGGACAGGACTGTGTCCCCCCCAGCAGTGACCATCAAAGCAGGAACTCTGATCTGTAGATTCAAAGATGCAAAGGGAATGGAGGTCAGTTTGCAGCAGTGATTAGCCAGGCATGATTTTACATGTTGCAGAAATGGGCAGGGGAGAGAGTTGGCTTGTGTGCAGCTGCCAAATCCCATAGGCAAGGAAAAGTGTCTCTTGGGAGATGCAAAGTCTCCCAGGCAGCAGCAGTAGGCGAGCAACCCCAATATTTTGGGTTATACGGTGGAAATTCCAGAGTAGTGGTTGTGCTTTCTGGCTTTGTTATGTGGTGCCTTAAAAGACTAATAGGTTTTTTGGGGGGGAATAAGGTTTTGTGGACAGAAATGGCCCTCTCTGTCAGATGCATGAAGTATTATCCTCAAATAGTAAACATACAAGAGGGTTTTGGGCCAAGAAATCTAAGAGACAGATTTTAGCTGTGAAAATGACTTAGGAGAGCAACTCCCTCCTTGTTTTTCATGTGCGTTTTCCTCTCCTGAATGGAAGGCCGCCCATGCCAACTTGCTTGCTCAAGACTTGTGCTGAAGTCTCCAGCTGTTGAAGGGCGCCAGGTTGGCAAAATCTGTGCTGGAGATTAGCCTTTCGATGAAGATCTACTGCATTTGGCCAGCTAGAGGTTTACGGTGACCTTTTGGAGCTTTGTTCCAGGGCAAGAGGGTGGGAAAATCAAGGGAGTCGCTTCTTCTCCATCCCTTACCTTCCAGCTCCTTGCACGGGATCCCCAGCGCACGTTCGCCTGCATGTTTCGGTACCAGTTCAGTGGTCCTCTGAAAGAGGCGAAGGGGAGAAGAGCAGGAGGCTCGTAAGAGGCCAGTCACAGAATTGTAGAGTTGGAAGGGACCCCAAAGACCATCTGGTTCAACCCCTTGCAGTGTGCGAACCACCGCAAAAGAATCAGAAGTCCTTGAGCCCCACAGAGCCCCATCACATGCAATGACTGTTGAGATACTGCCGGGGAGACGGGGGCATCAGGCAGGCCCCCAGCTGGCTCCAGCCACCGGCCGGCAGCCGGACAATCACCGGTCTCCCTTGGAACAGCATCAATCGGTGACACGAGCCTCAGATACGTTTAGAGACCCGTGCACGCTCTGTCAGCAGAGTGAATAAATCTTCTCACAGCAGAAGAGGCAGACAGAGAAATGTGTAAGCATATTTACAGCTTTTATTCAGCAGCAGGAACAAAGGAAAAAACATGTCTGCTTCCCTTCGTCTCCAGCAAAAAGCAAAAGCTCTATACAAACGGAAGTTCCCAGCAGATCTGTGCTGAAAGTAAACAGGCATGTGGCACACAACAGTCATGCCTGTACCCTTTTAAGGTGGAACGGAACTATATCCCAACAATGCCTGCACTCCCAAGTACAAGCTGCATTGCAGAGCCAGTGTGGTGTAGTGGTTAAGAGCGGTAGTCTCAATCTGGGGAACCGGGTTCGCGTCTCCGCTCCTCCACATGCAGCGGCTGGGTGACCTTGGGCCAGTCACACTTCTTTGAAGTCTCTCAGCCCCACTCACCTCACAGAGTGTTTGTTGTGGGGGAGGAAGGGAAAGGAGAATGTTAGCCGCTTTGAGACTCCTTAAAAGGGAGTGAAAGGCGGGATATCAAATCCAAACTCTTCTTCTTCTTCTTCCTTGCGCAGAAGAACAGGAGAGCGTGCCGTGCCAAGGCAAAGTGCCCTCCAGACCTAATTGTGGGACAATATTGCCGTCAAACCCAGGGCTGTCTTAAGCATAGGCGGCTCTGGGGTACAAAGATCCACCCATCGCCCCCCCCCCAGTTGCCCAGTCCCAGGCATGCAGGAGGGCGGAGCCAGCCAGCAGCCTCAGCGCCTCGCTGGCTCGGTCGCCCCCGAACTCGCAGAAATGCCCACAGCAGAAGAGCCCAACGCAACGCTCCGACCAATGGGTGGGCTCAACTCTCGGGCCCCGGACTCTCGGTCTGGCGCCCCTGAGAACCTGGCGCCCGGGTGCCCCGCACCCCTCGTGCCTATGGGTCAGATGGCCCTGGTCAAACCAACAATTCACATTGTGCCAGACAGGCACATGAAAGGGCTGAGGGTCACAGAGCTTTCCTTTAAATTTGCTAGAGAGAACCTTGTGAGATGGCTTCCTTTGCCTGCCTTGGCAGGAAGCTGTAACACTACATCCTTCCTTCCTGCCTGGTCAGCCTCTTCTTTCTTCATCATGCTTCTGAGCTGGCCCCACATGCATGTCCGAGCTCTGCTGCTCACAGAACTCTCTCTGCAGCTCAGACACTATTTTTGAACATACAGTGGTACCTTGGTTACCAAACTTAATCCATTTCGAGAGTCCGTTCGACTCCCGGAACCGTTCAAAAACCAAGGGGCAACTTCCAATTTGCTGCAGGAGCTTCCTGTACTCGATCGGAAGATGCAGAAGGCACATCGGATGTTCGGCTTCCGAAAGACGTTTGCAAACTGGAACACTCACTTCCGGGTTTTCAGCGTTTGGGAGCTGATTTGTTCGGGAGCCAAGCCGTTTGACAACCAAGGTACCACTATATATTTTTCACTAATTCAAGACCTGGATTATGTAAGTAAATACTACTTTTATTTCTTCACAAAACAATGGGAGTGTGATTGCTATTTTTAAGGGGGAGAAAACAGGTAATACCAGGAAAACGCAGTCTGTCTTAAAGCATCTTGGATTATTGTTGCTAGACGGTTAAGTCAACCTTGTCTTAGTTCCCAAGATGCAAAGGATGGTACTCTGCTGATCTCACAAGGAAGGATAAGAACTAAACAATAAATTCTCTCCTACTGTCTAAATCTATTTCTACATAAATGAGAGCCACAGTTACTCCTGCCTCATCCCCTCCCTGCCACTCACCTAAATCCAGATTTTTGAAACTGTTGGAGATAGTACTGCAGTACAGGCTCTGGCAGGAGAGAACTTGGGGGTGCGTCTTCGGAAAGTCCTTTCAGCAGTCCTCCTGCGGTGCAAATGGAGGAAGATTGGAATGAAAGTAATGCTTTCGTGGCCATAATTAATTGCAAATGGTGGGGCCTGAGCAAAAAATGGCATTTCCAGACAGTCGCTATTTTGTGGGTGGGATTTATAAGAGCGGAAGAGGTGTTGGTTTCTGTGTGTTGCCACTGTGCAGTGCTCTTGGAGTCACAAGACTCTGTTTACATTCCAGGGATTCCAGACTATTGGAAGTCTCATGGAAGACAGGAGACGGATGTGATGTTACTGGTTTCCTGTTCCTTTGTTTTTCAGTTGCTCTCTGCTTTCACAGAGAGAGCGCGTTTATTTCTTTTCTGTCTGCATAGCGAGAAATAAAAGTCTTTGCAATGTAGCTCATAAATCTCGTCACTTCTGCTGCGTTGAAACTCTGATGAATGGGGAACATGCCTGGAGGCTTATCAAAGGCCCAGGTCATTAATTATCGTCGGAGGTGATTCCGAAGGACTCGACCGGAGGAGGAGTAGCTTGGTCGTAGTGAACGCAAGTCCGACAAAGAGGAGCCTGTTGGACCAGGCCTATGGCCTAGAGCGTCCAGTATCCTGCTCTCGCAGTGGCCACCCAGATGCTTCTTCTGGGAAACCAGCAAGCAGGATTCAAACCCAAGAGCCCTCTCCCCTCTTGTGCTTTCTGGCAACTGGTATTTGGAAGCACTGTTGCCTCCAACTGTGGAGGCGCTGCATAGCCATCACGGCTGGCAGCCATTGACAGCCCTCTCCTCTATGAATTCATCTCATCTTCTTTTAAAGCTCTAAACTACCCCTGCCCAGCAGACCTGAAGAAGCATCTCCACCCCCATCATCCAGCCTGGACACTAAGGTCCAGCTCCAAGGTCCTTCTGGCGGTTCCCTCACTGCAAGAAGTGAGCTTACAGGGAACCAGGCAAAAGGCCTTCTCGGTGGTGGCGCCTGCCCTGTGGAACGCTCTCCCAGCAGATGTCAAAGAGATAAACAATTATCTGACTTTTAGAAGACATCTGAAGGCAGCCCTGTATAGAGAAGTTTTTAATGTTTGATGTTTTATTGCGTTTTTAATATTCTGTTGGGAGCTGCCCAGAGTGGCTGGGGAAACCCAGCCAGATGGATGGGGTATAAATAAATCATCATCATCATCATCTAGGCTGGTGGCCATCTCTGCCTTCTGTGGGATTGAGTTCCGTAATTTAACTATGTGCTACATGAAGAAGTCCTTAAAAAAAACAAAAAACTGTCCTAAATCTCCTGACATTCAGCTTCATCAGATGTTCCCAAATTCTAGTGCTATGAGAGATGGTGTCTCTCTAGCCATGCCATCTATCATTTTCTAAAATTCTATCTCACTCGCCTTTTCTCTAAAGTAAAAAATCTCGAATGCTACAACGTTCCTTCAGAGGAGAGTTGCTCCATCCTCTTATGGTTTTGGTTGCCCTTTTCTGATTCAATCACATATAAACAACAGATTCAGCCTGCATAATTAGAATTGACTGGAGGGTCTTGCACAAGAAACCCACTTTTCCTAGAGGCTGGGCTTTGCAGTAATGGAGAAACGCCCTGGGATAAGACTGGCTTGAGGCAATGGCATATAACCTCCCGACAAACAAATCGGAATGCACGCTCATTAAACAACCAACAACATCTAATCTCCCTGCTAACAAATCAGGCTGAATACTCAACAAGCAGATCATCTAAAAGCAGCACCCAAAGTTTATGCACAGCAAATACCTTTGCACAAGGAGCCTCTCTCTCGGTTCCTACACTTCATTTGCATCTGTCTGCTAACCATCAAGCGTGGCGCGACATGCAAACTGTTTTCTCTCCCCTGAATAATTCTCAAATCGCACTCTGCAAACGTGTGATTTGAGATCTAAGGCACTGTGTCAGCGCAAAGCAGGCTGTGCTCTGGGATCACCGAAACGGACAAAGGAGACACAGTCAACACTTGCAAGGGCTGGAACAGACTCTCCCACCAGGAGTTTAAATTCACTGAACACTCGTACTTCTTGAGCAGGAAAATTAAGCTGGGAACTCGCAAGCTGAAAGTGCCCCTATGTTGTTGAGGAAGAAAGGAATGGGGTCCAGTTAGTCAGCTGCGATCACTGCCTAATTTGCTTAGATCGAGCATGTCGCTACTGTTATTTAATGTTATTTATGAAGGTCGGCAGTTCGAATCCCCACAACAGGGTGAGCTCCCATTGTTCGGTCCCTGCTCCTACCCACCTAGCAGTTCGAAAGCATGTCAAACTACAAGTAGATAAACAGGTACAAGTAGATAAATAGATAAATAGGCTGAGGGATCCCAGCCTGCACAGGATTCCCCGCCTCCAGAACCAGCTGAGCTGGGGCTGGGGCTTGAACCTGAAGGGCCCTCACCTGTGCTGGGTCCTCAGGTGCAGGCACCAACTGAGTCTGCTCTGGCTCCTGAGGTGATGGAGGACCCATTGCCTGCAGGTGCTCCACTCTCAGCCCCGTCAGAGGAAGCTGAGGTTGCCTCTGGGTCCGGTCACCCTCCAGCCTCTCCTGAGCTGCAGAGGCTCAGGGCAGAGAGGCAAAGGGAACTAAGTTCCTGCAGGAGGAGTGCTCGCCTCCAGGCCAGGAGAGGCGAGTCACCTGTGGACTGGGGCCGCCCTATGCGTCGGGGCATATAAAAGCCAGCCAGCCCCAGTCCCAAGTTGCGGGAGCAACATTGTTGGTAGCCAGTTCCTGCCTGCACCCTGTCCTGCTCTTCTGCCAGAATTCCTGACCTCACCCGACTCCCTGCCTTGGACCCCGCTTCAGCTTTGACGGACAGCCTCCATACTGCACCCTCGACCTCAGACTGGACTTGGACCTCGCCTCACGGTTAACCCTCGGAACCAGCACATGATGAGGGAGGGAGCAAAAGATTTTCCTTCTCCCCTTTTCCACACCACACCCAAATGCATGCACCCCGTATCACGTGGGAACTGCCGGAGCGCCTGCCCGGCTGCTGTGTTCTCTCACCTCGCTCCCGGCATTTCCTGACATCAAGCGAAGGGCCGTTTATCTTGTCCTGCAAGGAAAGCGTTTTGAATGAATGATCAGAAGTCAGGCCAGTAGGCTGGTGGTGGTGGGGAGGTAAAAAGGTGAGGTGGAGAGCAGCTGGGAGAGGGAAAGGGATCTGCTAGAACAGGGGTCAGCAACCTTTTTCAGCTGTGGGCTGGTCCACTGTCCCCCAGACCTTGGGGAGTGGACGGCGGACTTTATTTTGGAAAAAAAATTGAATGAATTCCTATGCTCCACAAATTACCTAGAGATGCATTTTTAATAAAAGCACACATTCTGCTCATGTAAAAACACCAGGCAGGCCCTCAAAATAAGCCAGGTTGCCTGCCCCTGTGCTAGAGTCAGAACTGATGGGCCACTTAGCTCAGCATTCTCAAGAGAGAGTAAAAAATAAATGAATCTGAGCAAACGTAACCCAGCTTTTAAGCCACGGAAGGCTGGATATTTCAGCACAAATAAAAATGATACAATGATATGTTTAGATTAAAGGAGTAAAGCGGAAAGCACAACATTATCCAGGAATGTTATAAAGAGATAGAAATTCAAAACCTAAAGAGTGCAAGGATCATACAGAACTAAAAAATAAGGAAGTTGCGGAGTGATGGAGGGAAGTCAAGGGGTGTGGTGGTGGGAGGGAAATGGGGGGGCAAAGAATTTATGTTTGTGTAAATAATAGTGTATTTTTGTGTGGTTTTGTTATGGTAGAACGTACTTTTCTTTTTCTCTTTTTGTATTAATAAAATTTAATGATTTTTTAAAAGAAAATGGGGGTGGGGAAATGATTCAGGTTTGGCCAAATCTGCACGATGCAATTCAGCATCTGCAGTCATGTGGAGGGGCAAAGTCTGACTGCGCCCCCTCCATTCTGTATCACCTCTGGAGGTCTTAAGGCACTGCCCACCATTCAACTAAACTCGCCCATTAAACTGGAGATGCAAGAAGGTCGAGGGAATGTTTTTTCATATGTGGTGGACTTGCAAAAGGGCAAAAGAGTATTGGGAAATGATTCATAATGAACTGAAAAAAATGTTTTAAAGTACTTTTCCAAAAAAAACTCAACAACCCCAGAGTCCTTTCTGTTGGGGATAATTCACACAGAAATTCCCAGGTGTCAAAAAAGGTTATTTATGTCTGCCACTACTGTGGCCTGTGTTTTGTTGGCCCAAAAATGGAAAACGAGCGAGGTCCCGACTAAAGAAGAATGGCAAACTTAAGCTGACGGAATATGCGCAGCTTGCAGACTTAACGTAAGAGAACAAGAAGAACATACATTTAAAGAAGATTAGAAAATGTTTGCTGAATATATTGGAAATAATTGTGTACAGCTGAAAACACTAGCGGCATTAAGATAAATTAAACCATGTAAATAAGTTTTGATGGATGTAATAATGGGATACTGAATGGTTTTGTTTATGTTAAATATGCAGGGATTTATGGCATGGAAAATGAACCACGGAAAGAGAAGAAGGGAAGTCACTGATATTGCAAGGATGTTTAAATGAGTATTTAAAATTGTAAAACAGAAAATCTAATAAAAATTATAAAAATAAACTAAACCCTCCACGCCCACAAGGGCTTCTGCAACACATTTGGCCTCCCTTGCTCTCCTGTGCACACACAAAATACAAACAGCATCAATTTCAACAGGAGGGCAACCTGAGCCCAGAAATGAATAGCAGTGCCTCCAACATCCCAGGACACCCTCTCCTGCCCCAACACCCCACACGCAGGAGACACCAACCTCCTTCCGGATCGACCGGATCATGAACTTCAGAGTCCTGCTGATGTCCTTCTCCAGTTCAGTCTCTGCAACTCCCTGCAAAGGAAAAAGGCGAAACATTGAAGTGTGGATGCAAGACATGCCAGGAGGAGGAGGAAGAATATCTCTCTTGGCTACAACTAGCCACTGGATTTTCAAGATATTATTTATTAGAGTATTGTCACATGCCACTCCCATCTCGGGGAGAGTTCAGGAGTTCTGGGAGTTTAGCCAGGTCCGGTTTGCTTGAAGTCAGTGGAGACTGCGGTGTCTTTAGGATATGTGGTTTTACGATACGATATGATACGATACAATAATCTTTATTGTCACTGTCCCATAGAGGACAACGAAATTGAAAAAAATCTACATCAGACCTTCAAAAACCAACAAGCCTGCTATCCCAGCTATCCCAGCCTGGTTAGCCCCCTAAAAACTCTGATACCCCATTTTAAAATACAATATACTCCCATAGAAACTACCTTAAAGGTAAAGGGACCCCTGACCGTTAGTTCCAGTCGTGGCCGACTCTGGGGTTGCGGTGCTCATCTTGCTTTATTGGCCGAGGGAGCCGGTGTACAGCTTGACTAAGCCACTTCTGGCAAACCAGAGCAGTGCAGGGAAACGCCGTTTACCTTCCCGCCGGAGCGGTACCTATTTATCTACTTGCACTTCATGCTTTTGAACTGCTAGGTTGGCAGGAGCAGGGACCGAGCAACGGGAGCTCACCGCGTTGTGGGGATTCAAACCGCCGACCTTCTGATCGGCAGGTCCTAGGCTCTGTGGTTTAACCCACGGCGCCACCCACGTCCCTAGAAGCTACCTTACACTGCGTTTAAAACCCAAATCACATTTGAATAGAAACTGTTTCTCAGGCTGCTAGTCCTAGTCTTTATAACCCTGTAGCTTCTTCCAGAAGGCAGAAGCTGAAAGAGATCATTTCCGGTGTGCGCACTATCCTGCGCTATCTCTGCAGCTTTCTTATGGCACCTGGAAGCATAGATTTGATCCATTTGCACAAATAAGACAACTCTGGGTTAAGACGGAGGGGCTCCCAGAATTATCACCCCAACAGATCTTCATTAGTCCCAGAGCAAGCAGGTCTCTGTGTCTCCAGCTTCCAGCTCAGCTCGCACCCAAAAACTCTGGCTCACGGTCTCCTACCTAGCAGCTAGGGGAGGGGGTGGAAGAAAGCCCCCCGCCCCCGTTAGCTAAGAGGGCCCCGTCACTTAGTTGAAGCTCTCGCAACCTGGCTCATTCTTTTGGGATGCTGCTGAGGTCACTCCAGTGGCCAGAGAAGGCCATCATTTTGCAAAGAAACTTGTCTGACTACTGCAGCAACCTCTTCCTCTTTTATGTTCTAACCCTCAGTGGGCACAGGCCTCCTAGAAGGGACTCAGGGATTGAGCCCCCCCCCCAACCCACAACAATATTTACCGTATTTTTCCGTGTATAAGACACCCCCCATGTATAAGAATCATAGAATCATAGAGTTGGAATAGACCACAAGGGCCATCGAGTCCAACCCCCTGCCAAGCAGGAAACTAAGACGACCCCTGGTTTTTTTGAGCCCAAAATTAAGAAATAAATATTTTAAACATCAAGCAGAACAACTTTACCGATATGTTTAGTATCATAATTACAGTAGGTAATTTCTTTTATTTTTTGGTCTGGTCAGCATTATTATAATATGCAGTATAAGAATTGGAGCGGCGTTGGCACAGAGCCGGTCAGCTGAGCTGGAACGAAAGCATGTCCTCGACGACCGGGAACTGTTTGGCGCTGCAATGCAAGAATCATTGTTGTTGTTGTTTAGTCGTTTAGTCGTGTCCGACTCTTCGTGACCCCCTGGACCAGAGCACGCCAGGCACTCCTGTCTTCCACTGCCTCCCGCAGTTTGGTCAAACTCATTCTGGTAACCTCGAAAACACTATCCAACCATCTCGTCCTCTGTCGCCCCCTTCTCCTTGTGCCCTCCATCTTTCCCAACATCAGGGTCTTTTCCAGGGAGTCTTCTCTTGTCATGAGGTGGCCAAAGTATTGGAGCCTCAGCTTCACGATCTGTCCCTCCAGTGAGCACTCAGGGCTGATTTCCTTCAGAATAGATGCGTTTGATCTTCTTGCAGTCCATGGGACTCTCAAGAGTCTCCTCCAGCACCAGAATTCAAAAGCATCCATTCTTCGGCGATCAGCCTTCTTGATGGTCCAGCTCTCACTTCCCAACATCACCACTGGGAAAACCGTATAGCTTTATAATCATAAAGAACCATTTAAGAGGGAATTTGTATGCTGCAGAAGTCAAATTGTGTTTTTTTCTGCTCCACTCTCAAACATCCAGGGGAGCGAACTGCACTCTGCCCCTTGGGCCCAAAAATTGGGAAAAATATCGTCTTATACACAGGAAAATGTGGCATATATCAGTTTCTGGCTTTTGGCAGTCAATCATGCCTATTCAGATGGTAGCCGCTTCCACTGCTCTACCTCAGAAGGTAGCAGAGGTATCTCCTTCCTTGGAGGTTGGGTGGCCATCTGCCATGGATGCTTTAGCTGCAATGACCGCATTGCAGGGGGCTGGACTGGATGACCTCTGGGATTCCCCTTCCAACTCTACAATCCTATGATTCTCTGAAAGCCCAACTAAGTGCCTGCGTTAAGGACCTGCGTTTCCTATCAGCACCATCCACTCTCTTTGCCTCCTCGCCTCTTGCCCGTAGGAAGGGCTGGCAGGGCCCCCTGTTTGAACAGCAACAGGCTCGCTTGAGCTTTGTACAGCTGCCGCCTGAGAAAAAGCGGACAGTTTGCCTTCCTGTAATTTAAAGTGCTCTGTTGATTCCATTTTGTTTAAGCGACCATGGAGCAAAGGAAACAAAAGAGGGGAAGCGTGCATTTGCAGAGAAGCAAATGTCTCCACAAGGCAGCCCAGAAGTCAACAGAGCTCCACTTTTCAGTCTGTCTCTCACACGGGAGATGCTCCTGTTTTCAGGGCAAGAGAGCGCCACAAGTCTGGCCTCATTTGGCATGTCAGTTTGGGAAAATGCAAGATTTCCGTGGGGTGTGGGGAGGTTTGTGAACAGGTGCCTTCTCTCTCTCCCCACCCCTCCACAAAAGGGCCTTCAAAAACTTTTTTTTCGAGCTATGCAGTTCTGAAAATTTGCAAGAGTTTGGTAACATGAAAAAGCGGAACAAGGACTTAGGGGCCATACGAAGGAGCCTTTTTGGAAGGTTCAGAACAGATGAAAGATAAAAGAAAGTCTTTTTTTCACACAGCACACAGTTCAACTATGGAACTTGCTGACCCAGGAGCACCAAGCTTAGATGGGCGTTGGAAACCGCCCTGTGGTCTCTTGGTTATGTGAATATACCATATTTTTTGCTCCATAAGATGCACTTAAAAAGTAAGGGGAAATGTCTGTGCGTCTTATGGAGTGAATGCATGGTCCCTGGAGCCAAATTGCCCAGGGGCAAAAAGCAGATCATGCTTTTTTTTTTAAAAAAAAAAAGATGGAAGTGGGTGTTGAAACAATGCCACTGAGGAGCTGATCGGCAAGCGATCGGAAGGAGATAAGGGACTCTAGCGATAAAGGAGGCTGCCTGGGAGGGGAGAGGTAAAGACAGCGAACTTGCAAGGAGAGGAGACAGGAAGACTAAAGCAATAAGGAGAGAACTGCTTTTGAACTGCTAGGTTGGCAGGAGCAGGGACCGAGCAACGGGAGCTCACCCCGTTGTGGGGATTCAAACCGCCGACCTTCTGATCGGCAGGTCCTAGGCTCTGTGGTTTAACCCACGGCGCCACCCACGTCCCTAGAAGCTACCTTACACTGCGTTTAAAACCCAAATCACATTTGAATAGAAACTGTTTCTCAGGCTGCTAGTCCTAGTCTTTATAACCCTGTAGCTTCTTCCAGAAGGCAGAAGCTGAAAGAGATCATTTCCGGTGTGCGCACTATCCTGCGCTATCTCTGCAGCTTTCTTATGGCACCTGGAAGCATAGATTTGATCCATTTGCACAAATAAGACAACTCTGGGTTAAGACGGAGGGGCTCCAGAATTATCACCCCAACAGATCTTCATTAGTCCCAGAGCAAGCAGGTCTCTGTGTCTCCAGCTTCCAGCTCAGCTCGCACCCAAAAACTCTGGCTCACGGTCTCCTACCTAGCAGCTAGGGGAGGGGGTGGAAGAAAGCCCCCCGCCCCCGTTAGCTAAGAGGGCCCCGTCACTTAGTTGAAGCTCTCGCAACCTGGCTCATTCTTTTGGGATGCTGCTGAGGTCACTCCAGTGGCCAGAGAAGGCCATCATTTTGCAAAGAAACTTGTCTGACTACTGCAGCAACCTCTTCCTCTTTTATGTTCTAACCCTCAGTGGGCACAGGCCTCCTAGAAGGGACTCAGGGATTGAGCCCCCCCCCCAACCCACAACAATATTTACCGTATTTTTCCGTGTATAAGACACCCCCCATGTATAAGAATCATAGAATCATAGAGTTGGAATAGACCACAAGGGCCATCGAGTCCAACCCCCTGCCAAGCAGGAAACTAAGACGACCCCTGGTTTTTTTGAGCCCAAAATTAAGAAATAAATATTTTAAACATCAAGCAGAACAACTTTACCGATATGTTTAGTATCATAATTACAGTAGGTAATTTCTTTTATTTTTTGGTCTGGTCAGCATTATTATAATATGCAGTATAAGAATTGGAGCGGCGTTGGCACAGAGCCGGTCAGCTGAGCTGGAACGAAAGCATGTCCTCGACGACCGGGAACTGTTTGGCGCTGCAATGCAAGAATCATTGTTGTTGTTGTTTAGTCGTTTAGTCGTGTCCGACTCTTCGTGACCCCCTGGACCAGAGCACGCCAGGCACTCCTGTCTTCCACTGCCTCCCGCAGTTTGGTCAAACTCATTCTGGTAACCTCGAAAACACTATCCAACCATCTCGTCCTCTGTCGCCCCCTTCTCCTTGTGCCCTCCATCTTTCCCAACATCAGGGTCTTTTCCAGGGAGTCTTCTCTTGTCATGAGGTGGCCAAAGTATTGGAGCCTCAGCTTCACGATCTGTCCCTCCA